TGACAGGCACAAGCTGGTATAGAAAACACATTTGAACTTGGTCAAAGTTCATTCTGCAAGTCCAATGCTGCAGGCAAAGCAATGCACACTTGTTTTTACATCGTAAAAACCCATGTCTAGTTTCTCCATGTATCAGTTTTGGACTTAATCCTCGTTTCGATGTGATGGGTCACATATATGTAGATATTATAAAAATAGCTGCTAACATAAAGAAATAAAATATTTTTTAAAGACTTTTCTTGCTAAAGTCCAAACGTAGAATTTTTTTGGTGGGTGGATCTTAAAACATATACAGCATTTAAGCTATTTAAAAATAAGATGATCTGTTAATGTAACTTTACATCAAACATGTGCGTGTCAGTGTGCTCAGAGGACGTGTTGGGGATGACTCTCAGTCACCGACACGTCCAGTCTGAGCTCAATGTCTGTAAAAACAACAGAATCACAGCCAGCTSTCAGGCTGCTCAGGTTCATCAGTTGTGGCGGCCATCTTGAATTGATGGTTGATAAACATCCGGGGATTGCCATGTCACAGTTTCATCTAAATCCAGTGGTTCATGAGATATTTTGCTAACAGAGAAATGAACACAGACGTGGAATTACAGCAGGGGTAGTTAGAAACATAGGAGGATATGATCTTTGCTATGATCAGTTTTAAAAAGCTGAAGTAGAAGATGGTTTTGGCAAACACCCGCATTATCTGGCAACCCTGAAACTTTCACTAGATTTGATGCTGAGCAGGTTTTAATCACAGCTCGACAAACTAACAAGTTTTTAAATGATCTGTTGTAAATATTCAGGCTTTAAATTCTGTAATAAAAAGTTACTTATTGGATGCTCAAATCTGATGTTTAAACAAAGGAGTCGTTGGGTTCCAGTGCATTCGCTTGAAGAATAATCATTGTTGATGCTCAGATTCTACATTATGTTATATTTAATCATGCAAAAGCTGTTTAAGTGTAAAATATTTTACAAAGATTGCGTATAGTCTGAAAAAAGGTTTAAACACTTTGTGTTGTGGTCTAAAAACTTAAAGTTAAATATTTAGGCTCCCAAACGGCACGTCTTTGAGCTAAATGAGTTTAAAGCATAAAGTCCAAACAGAGTTCAGTATTTTACAGTTTTACCTGAACGGACTCGACGCAGCCTTTTCACACACGATCCCAACACTTCCTGTTCTTTCTGCTCAGCTCTCTGTTGGATAAGACATAAAACCAAAACACAGGCTAACAATAACTTTGTCAAGATGCCAAAACCATCATCTGGTTTGCAACACAGCCTCATATCTTTAAAAATGAACCTAAAAATAAAAATAATAAATGATAAAATAACCATCTGTTTCTGTCTGTGGGATAAAAGAGGACGCACGTACATACAGTACACAACGTGTGCTCAGGAAGGCTTCACAACGCAGACATTTGCAACACAGAAAAGTGAAAACTCATGCTATGCAAACTGAAATTGTAACATTTGTCATAAAATTGTTTTGTGAGCTCTCTCTGATTCGTTCAAGGGCAGGCGACTGGGCTGGCAGTACGATAACTGAGCAAAAAAACAAAAAATATAATATGCATCATGTGATTTATTTGTTTATACGTAATAAYAAAGATGCAGACACTTCTGCTGTCGAAACAAAGAAAAGCTTTGTTTTTAAAAGGCATTTATTGGTTAGGAAGAGAAACATTTTGTGACCTTTTACCTTGAAGCCTGTGATTGGTACAAGCAACACGTTTGAATCCTTAAATACTGTAAAAAAATGAAGTGAAAAGATTTTATTCTTATTTTTTTCAGTTGCTGTCATCACTGCGGTCTCCTGGTGCTTCATGATATATCTGAATATGCTTCAAACTGTATCAAATAACCATTTATTGGACATTTGCAGCTTCTGCTTTTTTTCCTTTTGGAGATTTGCAGATAAAATTAATCTATCTGAGCCGTTTATAATTAGTATTAATAAAAAATACATTTTGATTCAAGCTGCTGGCTCCTGCAAACTAAGCAGCACATGGCTTTTTTWAAAAATAATATCTAATCTAATGTAAGTTTCCTGTGTAGCCGGAGACAAAGCATGCTGTGTGCTCCTGCTCTGAGAGGGACACTGGCAGTGGTCATGGTGCTGTCCGTCTTTCTTACACTGCTCTGATGGCTTAAAAAAAAGATCTGTTTATTTTAAAAACAGTTCTGAATAAGAACGGTTTTAAAAAGCTGTCATGTTCGATGTGCACTCTTTACGACTTGGTCGAGAGTCTCTGCTTTGGGCTCCGGAGACTCCTGTTAAAACAAAATTAAAACAAAAAGAAGAAAACGAGTCGGGCTTTTGCCTCTTACAAGTCTCTGTATATTTCTGTGTCTGTAGTCAACAGTCAAGTATTTACAGTATATAAATATAAATATATATATATTTTCTTTGTATGCATATATTCATTACTATTTTTGCACTGACCTACTGAGAGATGGATTTATTTTTTTTCTTTTTTCCACAAAAGGGTGCTACTATACCGGAGGCCTTCTCCCACACCTTTTGCATGACTTTGCTCAAAACTCCTCAACCGGTCTGTCATCTCTCCTTCTCCTCTCCAGGACTTTATGAACTGTTGCAACTGAAGCACTGTAATTTTGTAATCCCTATGTGAGCTTTGAAATAAAGAAGGGAGGCTTTGAGTTTGCTTTGGTGTCCTGGAAGCCTTTTTTTAACAC